TTTGGCCATACACCTATTTTTACTATTGATAGCTGGAAATAAGAATTGGAGAGCGAGGGCATAAGAGTACACCATTAAGAGCAGGAGCATGCAAAACATGCATGGAAATGTAACTCAAAAGATACTCTCAAATCAAAGAAACGTTTATTTTAACAAAGTGAAAAGTTCCAAGAATTTGTCCAAGATTCTGTCTGTAAGCAATTCTTTGAAAAAGGGTAATGTTATTGCTACCCAATACATTTGTTTCTGTGAGACTCAAATACACAAAGAGGGATCAAATTTTTATCAAGATCAATTGCCGAGATACCAGTTGGTATTTTAAACATCTCTACACATTAAAAATGTTTACTTTTTCAGCATCATAAAAGAACTTCCGTTTCCTCTTGCCAACAAATTCATGTTTCCCAAAGCCTCAATTCTGCATCCAAGGATTTCAAAGACAACATGGAGTTTTATATGCCACTAAAAAGATTGATTTGTTGCAGCTGAAGAGAGAAGAAAAAAAAGAAAAGGTTTTATGTTCAATATTAGAATATGCAAGAAAATGAGAAGTTCATAATGAAAACTGTTTAAAATAAACAAAAAAATATATTTAACAATCTTTCTTATCAATGCTCTTAATTCAGTGATAAAAATTCATCAAGGATATAGTGAATATTTCAGATAGAAATTAATAGCTAAAAATGATGTCAGGCAGTAGATTTAATGATCTGCACATATATAAAATGATTACACACACCGATGTGCCAAAAGTCATGGGTATAAGGATAATGGTAGGTGGTGCCACTGTGCATTGATGTTATGAAAATGCTCAGACCTAATGCTCTGACATTTGGTAAGTCAGTATAAACACCTGTTTGGTTGCTCACCTACTATTTTGCCTTATTATTGTTAATTTGCTTTGCATATCCATTTTTTTTCTTTCATCTTTTTCTTGTTTATTGCAAACTTTGTCAATTCTGTTTGTTGGGCACTTCTGCCATTTCTTTATGTTTAACCATTATGGCCATTTAATTTCTTTTAACAGGTAAAACTTTTCCAATGTTTTAAATGTCTGAGAGATATGTAAAGTTTAAATTTTTCCATGTATATATAAATTTATCAAAATTACATGTAAATAGATTTCAAGACTTATTATTTTTTTTTTTTTTTTTAGAAAGTTCAATCTCTACAGTACAAATGTAAAAATGCAAAGTAAATAATATGAAATTAAAGCAAACAAATATATCTTATAAATATGGGTACTTTTGTAATAAAGAATTCGGACAACTTTAAGATAATTAAAGAAAAGAATTTACATGAAATGAATTAAAAATGCTTGATAAATTAATAACACTGTTCACATTAAGAAAAAATGCTTTAATGATAACTGATATTAACACATTGATAGCTTCAATAGTCAATCTGAAAGCATGCAGTACAAATTTAAGGTAGTTTCAACTTTCTCAAAAATTAAATGAAATGACCACTGTTCAGTAATTTGAATACTTACTTATTCTGGATTCGACAGAGCCAAAGTCTCCCAAGCACTTTGAAGCACCAAACTTCCATTTTTCTAAAATGACATGGTACTTTGGAAAGATAACACAAAATCTCAAAAGCAATGTTCCATTTAGTTAAGTTTATAATGTGAAAGGAACAGAAAATAAAATTTTATCATCTTTGTTTCTTTTTATTATAAAAAGTCCAAGGCAAAATGAAATACTTTTAATCTGAAATTACAATCAATATCTGTGAATAACCTGTTGAACCCACAGTACTAATTTGTCAATAGAATGTTTGTGCATAATCACCATAGACAATTAAACTATCTTGTATATTAGTAGAAAAATGTTCATACTTGCAACTTTGTATCAGTGATTTGTGGCTCTTTGTTGATGATTTATTCTGTTAGGCAGTTCTGAAATAGTGACATCTCAGGAATCAAAGGGGAAAGAGAAAAAAAAAAAAATGGGACTAGTGTGTATGTTTTGTGAAATTAAGTAGTCAGTTTTTCATTAATATTTTTCTTTTCACCACACACCTTACCAAAGAAGGTAAGTGTGCGAGTGTGTGTGTGTGTGTGTGAAGAGGAAAAAAAAGAAAAAAAAAAAAGAAAAAGAAATAAAGAAATGGGCTAAAGTTATTTTTTTTTTTTTTACATTAGAAGTTATATATAAAAAAAAAAATTTAAATGTAAATATTTTGAACTATGACAATTTTTTTAAAGTGAATAAAATAGACAAATAATCAACCATCAGATTTTTGTTTTGAAAATACTTCTTGGCCCAAAAATTTAACACCCCACCTCATAACTTACCAAACAAGCTGAGTGCATGTGTGTTTATTTTCACTTTTTGAAGGAGGGAGGCAAAGAAAAATGAAAAAAAAAAAAAAAAAAAAAAAAAAAAGCACACACACACACACACACACATATATATTTTTTTTTTTAAATATATTATATACGGAATTTTTTTATTCAAAAAATATACATGTATGTGTATGCACCTATGTATATATATTTATATATTTTGCAGATGTATTTGCATATTTACCACTAATATTAGCAATATATTGCTCCTTACCTTTATAAGTTGAGCTCTCCTTGGTATACTTCCAGTTAAACTGCTTTTATTCCAACCTATTCAGATGGAGATGGAAAAATTTACTCCGGATTATTCCTTGAAAAACATTCCTTACCCTTCATTGCACCTTTTCTCTGTCTGCCTTACAGACAGAATCATTGACCTTATTAAAAGAATGAGGTGGAAAACTTTTTTCTCCTGTAATCCCAAAAATGACCAAGAACGAAATCCTGAAATATATAATCTGAAATCCCAGAAAACAAGCTACTTGTACCGTTCGAAAGCAATTTGATCGATTTAATTAAAAAGATTAAGTTCAAGAATTATTCTAACTTCTTCCAAGCTAAGATTGGTAGAGACATTAAAAACAAAGAAATCCAATAAATTATGGATTAAAGCCGACAAATCCAAAAATTTCTATAAAATTAAACCTTCTGAATATGACAAAATCGTCATTCACAAAATTACCAGCTCTTATAAAAAAGACAAAGACAATAGCACCATATCATCTATCAATGAAGACATCTGCAAATTTGCTAACAAAGTTGTTGGAGTTGCTGACAGAATGGGCAAATTTAATATGAAAGATGCATACATTCTCTTCAAAGATCATAAACCAAACTTTATCAATAGCTTGCAGTCCCGTCTAATTAATCCCTCCAAATCTGAGTTGTGATTAATTTCCAAGAGTATTATCAAGAAAATAACATGTGTCCTGGATAAATACCCTGCCAACCTTTGGAAAGACTTGACCGAGACGATTAAATGGTTTCGAAAGATGCCTAACAAAAGAGTCACTTTCATCCAATTTGACATCTTTGATTTTTACCCTATTTCCGAGGAACTATTAATTAACAGCCTTAATTTCGCCAAAGGATATACCGAAATAACAGATAATGATCTGGACATTATTTTAGCGTCAAGATCAATACTTACATACAATGACGCTACTTGAGTGAAGAAGAATAATGGAAGTTTCGATGTACCTATGAGAGCTTTTGATTCTGCCCAAATTGCAGATTTAGTGGGCATATATATTGACACCTTGAGTAGAGTAGTTAACCTTAACCAAGTCGGAATTTATAGAGATGACAGCCTAATCATTGTCCCAAATATCAATGGTCACTTGACTTCCAGCTTACATAAGAAGATAATTAGGGCCTTCAAATACCTAGGCCGTAAAATTGAAATATCTTCCAACCTGAAAATAGTCAACTTTTTGGATATTACACTCAATCTATCGAATAATACCTTTAAACCCTTCCATAAAGTTGATCAAACACCCCTATACACCAACGTCCACTCTAACCACCCTAAACATGTGATAGATCACATCCCCAAAAATGTGAATACGAGAATAAATAGGCCATCTTCTAGCCAAAAAAATCTTTAACGATAATAAATTTATATACAATCAGGCCCTCAAAAACAGTGGTTTTAAACAAGAATTAAACTTTAACGGAGAACTTGTAAATCAAAATAATAACAGAACTAAAAACAGAAAGAGGAAGGTAATATGGTTCAACCCACCATATTGCAGGCTCTCTAACATTGATATAGGAAGTTTCTTTCTGAAATTGATAAATATTTTCATAGTAAACATCCACTACGTAAAATTTTCAATAGGAAGACACTGAAAATTAGTTACTTATGCGTTAGAAATATGGAGAAAATCATATCTTCCCATAATTGTAGAATACTTAGAAACTACCATAGTAATGAAACTCAAACTAGTAACCCTACCAGCAATTGTAGGAATAAAGACCATTGTCCAATCGGGGGTAAATGTAAGTATGAAAATGTAGTATACGAGGCAATAATCTTTCCCGAGGAGAATATAAACCAGAAAAAAAGATATATAGGTATATCCGCTGGTGATTGGAAGCAGCGTCTATACAACCATAACCATTTAGATATAGATGCCTCAGAAATCAAACTTCCTTATCCCAAACACTACTGGGATCTGGTGGATAAGGGACTAACCCCACTTTTGAAATGGAGATACTTATCAAGAGCTAGAACACCTAATAACTTCTGTGATTGGTGTGATCTGTGCATGGCGGAAAAAAATTTTATTATCAAAGATAAGAATCAAGATGAACTGCTGAATCTTTATAATGAGATATTTTCTAAATGTAGACATAAACGATTCAAAACATAAACACCGTTTTGTAACATGTTGTCACTTATGTCAGTTCTATCTTGGTTCAATAACATCGGACATGACATTTTAATGGAATGACTATTATGTTTATATTATCTCTATATATATATCAAAATATAAAATCTATAATAAAATCTTGAACAAACCCCCATGCCTGAATAGTATTAAGAAAACCCTACACTTAAATCAGACAATAACAGTGAAAAATTATGTGATTGTAGAAATCCAGAAGACTGCCCATTAGAAAATAAATGCTGCATCAAATCTGTGGT